ACTTGGAGTTAGGCATTTTAGCAAGAATCACACTGCCCTAAACTCTAAATTGACCAGGACCACAAGCACGTGCCACCCCTGTCCATCACGTTCCGGTTAACTTCCAGCCTCCCAAGGAGTATTCCTCTGCAGCTGGTATATCATAGGGTGAAAGAAGGCAAAAATCCAGGGCCAGTAGTCGCATGGTGGTTATGTTGCTGGTCTCTCACATGGCTCGGTTTGAGCCTCGGACACAGTGGCTTGAAAATTACAATAGGTGAGTGTGTATGTGTGCCTAGAATTCCAAGGGAAGGATGGAGGAGAAGGGATAAACGGCGACCATCCTTCTTGAGGGGTGATTTCTTACTTTCCTTCTCTCTGTCTCTAGCAAGCACACTGCCTCATGCCAAAAACAAACAAAAAAACGTAAAACCCTGCTAGTAGTATAGATAAGAGCTGATTTTCATCTCTTTTTAGACGAGAAGTCTGTGTCCTTTCCATATTTTGATCCATGTTCGATCAAGAGATTGCAGGATTGTCTTTAATAAAGGCAGAGGAGGGGCAGGGAATGGGGATAACTCCTTTGTGAACTGTCTATAGAATCTTACCACTTATGAGACTCCTGTAGAATTTTGACATCTCAGAGTTTGGATTGTGAGCTCACATTTAAGTAGTTATCAGGAGGCCCATGAGCCATATGATGAAATGGTGTGAAAAATAACTGCTTACATGGATTTCAGTGTGTGGACTCCATAGCTTTCATTTATTTGGTTCAAGGTCTGCTTGAGAGGTCAAGAATCTGTGTGTGTTGAGATGTGATGGTTGAAGGGATGGGAAAGGGAGGAGGAATACTTTTGTCACTGCTGGTATAACCAAGTATGATGCTGTCTTGAGCTTGTGCAGCGTGATGCTGTGGAGCAGCAGCCAGTGAGCTGTTGACTGTTGGCCATCCTCTTTAGGGACAGATATGCTGTAGTTGCTGTATGAATCTCTGTAGTTTTTCCTTCAGCCAGAGATTCTGATGTAAAGAAATTATCATGCTAGTTAACAGAACTGTGTAGAAAAACCCTTTTTAAAAAAATGGAGTATTTAGTAAGAATTTTGCTAAATGTTTATAGAAATCATTATGTCTTAAGTTTTAAGCTTTCTAGGAACACATGGGTTTTTGGTTACCCAATTACAATGATATTAATTGACAAGGGAAAGAACTGTTAGAAATTAAAAGATAGGGTGGCCCTATAGCCCAGTGGTTAAGGGAGCTGGATTCACATGACTGACCATGGTTCAAATCTCAGCCTTGGCAACCTTAAAAAATGTCTAAAGTTCCAACAGAGTGGAGAAATAGAGAAGGGATTGTGATGTGACAATGCCCCACTGGGGGGTGCCTTCTCCCTCTCTCTGTCTCTCTGCCTCTGTTGATCACAAGTGCCCTTAGCAATAAAAAATAATAATAAAAGATAAATACCTATAACATTACATAAAACCATCGTTGGTATTTTATTTTCTATTTTGGGTAGTGTGGTATTGACATTGAAACTTACTGACCATGTGACCTTTATTTAAATCCATTTAAAATTTTCAAATTATTTTCTTACATTACCTTGTATATATATGTTGACCTTTTACTTAATTAACTTTGGGTTGATATTTTAGGCTAACAACAAAATGGAAATGAAAGAGATTGCTAAACACAAGACTGTCTGGAAAATGAACTCAACCAGTGATCCTTCACTAATAACTGGTTTAGAAGTCAATCCTTTGAAGAAATTTATCATTCCTAAGATCAGGAAGACAGCTGAGAAAGGTATTTCTATGGAAAAAGTGATTCTTTTAATATATTACTGTATTTTCTTGAGTCTTAATACATGTTCATCTTCTATTTTGACTTTATATAAAATCAGGTTAATTCCTTAAATACACACACGTATCATATCTGGTTCTGCACAAAGTGGAATAGACATATGTCTTCTGTCCCTCCCACTGAGTACACCTGAAAACCTGAGTGTTACATGTAAAATAATGTAAGAAGGCTCTGGAAAGTAGAACGCAGGCAGGCAGGCTTGCAGCCCTGGGACTCGGGGCAGCACAGCAGTGAGCTCCCCGGATCTCCTGTCTGCACTCTCTTTACCTCCGGCTGGGTGCTTGTGACCTGGGAACACCAACTGGACAGACTCCTTACCCTCCCCTCCGCCCTCCCCCACCGCTGAAAAGTAAAACTCCAGAAAGTTGTTCTCTCTCGACAAAGGAATTGAGAAAGAAGCAGTGAGCCCTCTGACATTAAACACTCCAGCTGCAAAATACTGGGGGGGGAACATGGTCCGTAAACCTTTGCGAGCAAAGGCTAAGCAGACAGTTGAGATGACACTTGTGCCACTGCTGAGTCATGCCTGGGGTAACCACCACAAGCAGGAACATGCTTGCCCGCCTGCCACCCCTGCCTCTGTGGTGTCAGTGTGGGTGAGCAGCCTCTTTCCAGGACGGTTTCAGTCAGTGAACACAAGGTGGAGAGCCTGGACTTCAACCATACCCATGAGCAACGAGACATTCGTCCCCTTCCACGGCACCAGGGAAGCTGAGGGGGGAACAAGGACTTTACCTCTTTCCGGTGGTCACGGGTATCCCACCCGGAGTCAGTGGAAGCACTGTGGAAGATCAGGACTCCAACCCTGCCTGTCGATAAGTCTGTGTCCCCCTTTTCCTGCCCACAGTTTCAGTAAAGACTTGCTAAAGTGCGTGGTTAAATATTACCCAGAGTCTCATAAATACCCTAAATGATCTAGATACAATAGAAATCACTTATCTTACCATAAATCAGGACAATCTCTACTGAAATAAGAAAAGTTACTTCGTAGATGCTCAGATGACACAGGTGTCGGAACTGTCTGACAGGACTTTTAAAGCAGTCATCATAAAGTCATTGGAACAAGTCATGTGAACACTCTTGAAACAAATTTACAAGTAGAAAATCTCATTCAAAAAATCATGTAGAAGATTTAGAATGAAAACATAACTAAAATAAAAACTCAGTGAGGCAAGAACTGATAGGACTGCTAGGAGATCGATGGGGCCTTTACTACAGCTGAAAACTCAAACACTTCTTTATCAGAAGGAAAATCCATGAGGACATAACTGAACTCCCACCATCATCAGCCATCTGAATATGACGGACACCGATGGACTCTCATCCAGCAGCAGCACGGTGTACATCCTACCAAGTCCACGGGGTACACACGACGTCCTGCCTGAGCCACGGAACGCCTGAAGAAATGTGTGCTAATAGAGATCGTACAATGTCTGTTCTCAGACCACAGCACAGTGCACATCCCTGCCAAGTCCACGGGGTACACACGACGTCCTGCCTGAGCCACGGAACGCCTGAAGAAATGTGTGCTAATAGAGATCGTACAGTGTCTGCTCTCAGACCACAGTAGAATTAAACTAGAAATAAACAGAAAATGGGCTGGAAAGTCCCCAAGTATTTGAGTAAACATCATACTTCGGGCCAACCATGTGGCCTACTGATTAAGGTGACTGGATCCCACGTGGACAACCACACAGTTCAAATCTTGGTCCCAGTGTCTTGTAAAAAGAAAAACACTGGACCGTGTGTGCATTTGCACTCCAAGTCCCGACGAGATGGAGAAATGGAGCACACCTTATTAAGGAGGTGCTGTCTCCCTCCCTCTCTGACAAGTGCCCTCTGGCAACTTTCATGCTTCCAATTAACACGGATCAAAGAAGAAATCAAAAGTGGAATATCTTATCTTGAACTAAATGAAAACAGCAGCACTAGAAGTTTGTGAGATTCAGCCAAGACACTGTTTTGGAGGAAATTTATAGCATTAAATAAATATAATTTAAAAGAAATATCTAAAATCTAAGTTTCTACTTTAAGAAACTGGGAAAATAGAGCAAATTAAATCAAAAGTAAGCAGAGGAAATAGATAAAAATTGGGAGACTTGGGACCAGCAATTGGTGTAATGGCTGTGTCACTTGATTCTCATGTAGTTGACCGTGGTTCGAGTCCTGGACCCAGCGGCTTAAACTCACACTGGGCGTGTGTGCGTGCCCAAGATCCAGAGAGGAGAATGAAGGAGAATGAAGGAGAAGGGCCATCTCCCGGAGGGGTGGTGTGTGTGATTTCTTGCTTTCTGTCTCTCTGTCTGTCTGTCTCTCTTTCCGGTGAGCCCACACGCCCTATAGCAAAAACCTCTCAAAAAAAAAAAAAAAATTGGGAGACTCTGGCAAGTGCCCAGTGGCAATTCTGAAAAATGCCAAATTGCCAAATGCTGGTAAGGATGAATAGAAACCAGATCATTCTTACGTTGCCAGTGGGAATGTGAGAGTATAGCCACTCTAGAACGCAGTTTGCTAGTTTCTTAGAAATGCCAGTGAAATGCAGCTGCTGTGTGACCCAGCAGTCATATTGTTGGGCACTTATCCTTGGGAACTGAAACTTGTCCATACTGTAACAGGCCCTGCCTCAGTGGCGCAGTTGGTTATGTACTGCTCTGTGGTGCTGGAAGCCATATGGGGGACTGTGGGTTTGGGTCCTGTGTTGATCTGAGGACGTGCTGGGTGCTCTGTGTCCAAGACCCAGATGGGCTGCAGTACGGGGAGGAGGAGGGGGATCATGATGTGACCCTGTTGGGGTGCCTTTCTCCTCTCTCCCTACCTATTGTGCACACATGATCAAATCATGCACACATGAATTAGAAGAAGTGCTTTAAAACATAGCACCTTTCCAATCTGCCATCTGCAGTATAACTGTCACCAATATGCAGATTTCCATAAAAACACTTATGGACAGGACCGTCATGCTTGAGGTTGAACTTCCATTACAATAAAAATGTGGAGGCCATGGACCAGCGGGTATTGTGGTGGTTGAGGCACTGGACTCCCACATGGCCGTCCCTTTTGAGTCCTAGACCTTGTGGCTTTCTTTCTCACTTTCCCTTTCTCTCTCTGATCAAATTAAAAATAATAACATAAATAAAATTTAAATAATTCTTTTTAAAAATGTGATAGAGCAAGCAGAGGGCGTAGCAATTACAGCATTAGACTGACCACATGGCCAACCGTGGTTCGAATCCTGGACCCAGTGGCTTGTAAATCCTGCCAAGCATGTGTACGTACATGCCCAAGATCCCAGGAGGAGAATGGAGGAGAAGGGATTGCGGCATGGCTGTCTCCTCTGTTGGGGGTGATTTCTCACTTTCTCTCTCTGGCCAGCACATGCATCCTAAAGCAACAACAAAAAAATAAAAAGGAGTCAGTTCCAGGGTAATGAAGGACTGCCTCCTGATAAGCAAAGACTGATCTCTGCTGGCAAGCAGTTGGGAGCTGGGTGTACTTTGCAGCATTCAGAAGTCTACTCTTCTCATGCTGACACTTTGTTGTGGTACTAAGAGGGAGAGAGGTCCTACACTCTCCTAGGGAGAATGGACTTAAGAGGAAGAAAGTTGAACTGGCTGGCCTGAAAACTGGAAGGTGGATGAAAACTCTTCAAGTGCCTTTCAGATGAATGTGGTGCTGGGGTTTTTATGGCCAGCCACTTTACAGACATTATGGTGGCAAATGTCTGAGTTAACTGCTTCAATAGACCAAAAGACAAGTAATTGTGTCTGATTTCATAAGAGGAACAAGCTTTGGGTCTAGCAGATGGCACAGTGGTTAAGGTGTTGGACTCCTAGATGGTGGACCCTAGTTTGAGTCCTAGACCTGGTGGCTTCAAAATCACACTGGAAACGTGTGTGTGTGTGTGCCCCAAATCCTAGGAGGAGAATAGAGACAAAGGGATTATGGCGTGGCCATCCTCCCAGGGGGTTATTTCTCTCTTTCC